GTCTGGGCCTCCCTTCTGAAGCTGCTGCCCCCGCGACCCGACCCCGGATAGGCGGAAGAAAATGGATGGATGGATGGATGGATGGATATATATAATTTTGTTATATTTTTTTCAATATTTCTACTTGCAGTCTAAGCATCATTGCTTTCTCATTGGTTTACACTAACTTAAACGTAAAAAGAAGAAAAGAGAGAGAGAATATGAATCAGAGTACAATTGCTGTTTGATAGTTTTGTCAACCAGTTAGTATTATAGTTTCCCTTGAGTCTAATTATCACAGACTTCAGGTTTTTTGGGGAGCAGCAGCTGAGAGAAGCCTGTTCAGTATGAGTATCATCAACGTCATTTATGGAGAGATTTATTTGTCTTAAATGCAAGATAAAAATTTCAGAAAGTACTCTGAATGAAAAAGGTCTGATGAATCAGAAGAAAAACATGATAAAAAAGTAAGAGAGTCAAATATTCAGCAGCACTGTGTATTAAAGCTGCATCAGTTTGTGGAAAACCGGATGTATTTTAGCTTTTTTAAACAAAAGCTGTATTTATCTGATGCTTTAAGTTACAAACAGTTGTTTTTGGAGATCAGGATGTCTTGAAGAGGCACAGATCTAACCATGACGGTGTTTAAAACACAGTTACATAAAAAACTTGACATTGTTACCTGTTTATGTGGCTGAATATTCACAAACAGAATCAACTGTCCAGCATATTGATACATTTAATGCACTGTTTGCCACAATAAAGCTCAGTTTGATTTTTCAGCACCATGGACAGCTTCTCTATAACCTCATCAGCTCAAACTCTACAGGAACTGATCCACTCCGAAAGGATGAGATTTCTTTTCCTCAAAAACTATTTATGCACCGAGATACTCTCTCCAAGGATTTTTAAAGGCACAAAGAGCCAGATTTGTAACTTTTATTGTCAGTGAACGGAGTAAGAAGATACTGTAAAAGCACGAAGGATGTTCCGCTCCAACCCCCACATTTAGCTTATGAAATAAAGATACTATCATATGTTAAATAATCCTGAGGCAGGACAGATACATGTGTGAAAAGCGTCTTTATTCTGTTCATATTTCCTCAACATCAACAACCCCTTTGTTTTATTTTTTTAATATCAAGGACAATATTAAATAGAAAACATGAACAAGTAATTTTTTATAGTAACTGTAATGTTTTGTCTGCTTAGACTTGTTGAACAGATTTAAAGTTTTGAGGATTGTGTTTTATTTAAGGCAATTATTTTATTGCTTTTTTTAAACACGGTGACTCTGACATCATTTTGAAAGTTTCACCATAAGATATTAAGTCCCCTTTTTACTTACAGTGGGTAGATATGGTATTTTAGGTATGCTTAGATATTTCTACTACTTAATTTCAATTTATAGCCATGGAAAACACAGCTTTATACAACTTTATAAAACGCACAGACACAGAGAGGGAGAGGACATCATTCGTTCAGATGCTGCTACAGAGGATTAACACTAATCTGTGTTAGGGCCGCAGCTCGCCTTCAACACGCTCTCCAATTGGCAGAAGTTTAACCTCACATCCCATCATCCAGCAGCATTCAGGAGCCTCATTGGCTCAGTCTTCCTCCATGATTTACAGCAACATGTCTGTATCAGTGTGCATTATTCACCATCCAAAACAAATAAAAGAAAAACTACCTATAGTGGTAAAACAAAGAGCACATGTCTGGCGCTGTGCTGCAGTCGGGACTCATCACGCTGCTCGCATTAGAGGAGGATTAACTGAGGCTCAGCGCCCAACCGTGTCTGGGAATCGGAAGTGAGGTGATGCAGATATTCGTTTCCAGCAGAGAAACGTGTTGTATTGAACTATCAGAGATGTGAGAGTGTATAACAAGTGTAAAACAGAACACAATGCCATTTAAATATTAGTTAAAACACAGTGGGTTGTTTTGTGTAACTAAACAGGAAGCTGTGCAGTTTTTACACCTCTGGGCATCATAAAAAAGCCTCTTACTCAATGAAAAATATTTGCACATGCTTTCTGTGTGCGTTTACTGCATTGTATGTACCTGGAGTCTGCAGAAAAGGCAAATTTGTCCACTCTTTAATGAATAAAATCAACCCAGAGCCACAAAACCAACCTAACTGTTACAATAAAAACAATCAATGTAAAGTGCAACTAATAATGTGAAAAAATACCTGAATCATAAAAATGGATATCTTTCTACACCATTTGTGCAGATTCAGAAAGAAACCACTGCATGCACATTTACAACTGAGTCACTTTTGGAGTCAATCCAATTCAAGATGGCTGCTACAGCTTGACCAAAGCCAACGCAGGAATGGCTAAACCTCAGTGAGTTTTACAAATATTGGGCTAAAAGTTGGTGTTCGTAGCTGAGAGTCATACACACTACACACTTCTAGTGCTCACAGATCACTCAATATGCGATTGCACTTACTATTCTCAAGTTTTGACCAAAATGGCTGCAACTGTTTTTTTCTCTCAACATAAGATGATCTGAGTCTAAAACTCAGGCATGAAAAGGCTGCATGTTTCAGATGTTTCTTTGCTTTGAATGAATGAGTGAAGAACAGGCTTCTGTAGAGTTTGAAGACGTGCTGAGGAGCAGAATAACAACTAAAATGTGCAAGAAAAGGGCCCTCACCGCTGTAGACAAAATAAAATGTAAAACAGAGGTTGAGGAAAATCCTGTCTCTTAAGCAGACACAAAAAAATAATCCTTAAACAAGTGAATTTAAATTCTTTTTGGAGTCCTGTTCAACTGAAACAATGCAGCAGGTAAACATCATTATCACTGGATGTGTTTCCTAATTGTTTCACTAGGAGCTTGTAAAATGTAACCTTAGCTTTTCTATTTATTTTTTATTTCGGTCCTCTGTGTATCTCCACGGTCCGGTGAATTTGTGTGTGGTTTCCTCCCCCCCACCTCATGCTGGGAGATGTAACAAATAAGGGCGGAGCTAGATGTGGAAGAGATTAAATGATGAGTGATTTCATAAATGGAGGAAGTGGGGGGAAGATGATTTTCTATCCAGGCAGAGTATCCTGGCTCAGCAGGATGAGCTACTAGATTTTATTCAAAAAGAATAAACACTCTTCAGGCAGATAAATGTGGAAACTGTGACCGAGGCTTCTCCCCTCATGTGGAGGATCTGTGTGGGGTCAGTTTGAAGGAAAGACCATCTGTCTTCTCTGAAAGGTGTCCAAGTGGAGCACCATGCACGAACAGAAAGGACCAGCAGGTGCTGCAACATTTAAGAATTTCCTTGTGGTGTAACAAACACTGAAACATGTGCTCATTTTTGTAATTAGCACTGATAGAAGCTGTCAGACAGAAAACTGCAGATTCAGCATGTTTCCATCTCATCCCTGAATGACTGAACATTATTTCAGCTGGTTGAATAGAGGGCAGGGCGAGTGGCGACAGGATGCTGAGGTTGCATAAGCAGCGTGGAGAAAACAACATCCTGCACGCACGAAAATAAACAACATAAACGACCTGGCTGATGGATATTAAAATGCTTTTATTCAGCTCAAATACACGAAAACAGCTGCTGTTAGAAAATTATAAAACAAATAACCTGAAATAACCTTTTTATGTTTCGAAATCGAATTTTAAAAAGCTTTAAAACCTAATATTCTTTAACTGAAGTGGATTTTGTTTGTTCATGTCATGAAATTTTAATCAACTTAATGTGTTTATTTGTGTTTGTATTTTGTGTAAAACTTATGATTGTTCATAAACCTTACTTTTAAGAGTTTTCCTGTTTTTTATTATTTTGGACCTCTTTTTTTCTATCCCTTACATTTAGAAAAAAATGTAAGAAGCAGGAAGTCGTTGCTCCTATTTCATTCCAGCTTGTTATTGTTTAAAAACAATTAAATTTATAGTGGCCCTTGGATAGAGTGAGTTAAATTGTGGTTGGGTGAGAAGTATAAACAAAAATCCATCCGACACAAATCACATTAAACTCCAGCTAAGCAGACGTTTGAAGACAATCGTGGCAGAGATGAAACAGTTGCACCCTAAGTTTTCAACATTAATATTTTAAAACATTATAGTCAAGCCTTTTAGAAAAAATATGTTTTTTGGAGAGGTTACCTCCCAGAAAAATTCATTAAAAATTCCAACAACTCACTTTTACTCAACATTTTTACTTTTAATACTGAAATACGTTTTACATCAGAAATTTGCTTCTTAAGTACACAGAATATCAGCTACTTTAAGACTTTTACTCAAGTAGTATCCCTAAAGGAGACTTTAACTTTTACCAAAGTAATTCTATGGTAAGATACTTGTACTTTTACTCTAGTTTCAATATGAGGTACTTTATACAAGACTGCTTGTTTTTCTTTTTTTATTATTATTAATCATGCTCATCGTCTGTCTGTCTCTGTGTTGCAGGGATTTCCTTCCCCGTGGTTCTGGCATCGTGACCCGTCGACCTTTGGTTCTGCAGCTGATGACTGCCTCAACAGGTATAAAAAAAAAAAAAAAAAAAAAAAAACTGTTCATTTTCCGAGCTGCTGTTTCCACCATGAAATCAACATTTAAAACCCACTCAGCCTAATCCCTTCACAAATTCATTTGTTGAGGTTTAGGCAGCAGGTGATGATAGATTTTGTCAGTTTGGACGATGCAAAGGTTTGAATTTTTGTTTGTATTAATATTATATGCATTCTAAAAATTAGCGGTTGACTATCATCCTAAACACAACAGAAGTTGATACATGCATTAATGTTTTGTAGTTATAATACAAAAACCTCTAATTCAAAAAAATGTTTGCAGTCATTTAGAAAGCACATCTAACTGTTTTTATATGTTATACAATTAGACAAAACATGTTCTTTTACATCAGGGGTGTCCAAACATTTTGTCACATGGGCCAGAATCATAAAGTCAGAAGGACTTGAGGGCCAAAAATATTTTTCTTTTATCTGCTCAACAATAAACTAAGCATTGAATACTTTAAACAAATAAAGTAGTCAGATTTATTGCTGGAAATGGACGCATTAATTAATCTAGATCTGTTTTACGTCTATATATATTCTATTTCACTAATGCAAACAGGCAGATCGAAAGGCAGACTTGGTAAAAACCTCTAAAGTCAGAAGATGCCTTTTATCCTTTCCCTCCTGGAAATGCATCCCTCGACATCTTTTTCTCTCTGTTTCTCTCCGTAGATGGATGACAACTCCTTCATGTTGCCACACAATCTTCACAGTCATAGTGTTAATCAGAAAAAAAACAATCTGCCATATCTGAGACTTTCAGACAAAATACAATTGTTAAAAGTTAAAAAATCCTTTAAAGAAAAAGAGAGAGATGCAGTATTTGCTGCTCTAAAGAGCCTTAAAATCCACTTCCTGTATTCTGGACGTTGACTCTCTGTTTTCTGTCCGCTGTAGAATATGCTGAGTTCCTCCACTGCAAGGGCAAGAAGTTTATAGATTTTGACGAGGTTCGGCAGGAGATCGAGGCAGAGACCGACCGAGTCACGGGAGCCAACAAAGGCATCTCCCCCGTGCCCATCAACCTGCGTGTTTACTCACCTCATGGTGAGGCTCACAAAACTTGAACAACACTTTGGGATGATTTACAGGCTATTTTAATTCTGTGTTTAATGTAATTCTGATTTATCTGTCTGTCAGCAAAATATCTCATACAACACTAAATCGATTTTAATGAAACTTTCAGAAAATAATCATTGAACACACCCCTACAGTTGGTATCGCCCACCACCTAACCAACTCTAGGGGTGTGTTCAATCCCTAAAGCATTCCTTATAGGGTTTAATAGCGTCCTGATTTCTTTTTTTCTTCTTTTTGACAGTGTTGAACCTCACTTTGGTGGACCTGCCAGGGATGACGAAGGTCCCGGTGGGCGACCAGCCTGCAGACATCGAGTTCCAGATCAGAGAAATGTTGATGCAGTTTGTCACCAAGGAGAACTGCCTGATGCTGGCCGTGTCCCCGGCAAACTCCGATCTGGCCAACTCTGACGCTTTAAAGATCGCCAAAGAGGTCGACCCTCAGGGTGAGTGTATTCACACACACACATTGGTTTTTCCATCCTTGTGGAGACTTTGCATTGACTTTATTGACCAACATATAATGAACGAATGATGACTTGAAATTTTAGCGTATTGATATTAGCTACATTTACTGCTCCTATATGTTCCTTGTTTAGACTTTTAATTCTTCAGATGATGTTAACGTTATGTTCAGTTTAAAAAGCCCGCCAAACTACGCAAAACCCACCCACCAAAAAACACACACGCACACAAATACACACATACTGACACAAATTTAACAGAAATGTACGCTCAGGCGTAATATTTTTATTAATATACTGTAACTATGACTCATTTATTTTCTGCCCCCAAAAACTATTATTATATCACTCATTGTGTGTGTGTGTGCGCGCTTGTTTTGGCTACAGAGTGAGAACCATGTTAGGTTTTTAATCAACAAAGTGAGGTCATTTTTGGAAAGTGAGGACAGTTCCCCTGTTCTCACTTTGTTTGCAGCTCTGCTGTGCTTCACTAGTTAGGTTTAGAAGTGTGGTGTGAATTAAGTTTTGGTTCAGGTTAGGGTTAGCTATAGACCAGTAATAGTTTGTTTTAGGGAAAATGCCTGGGTCAGGCATAAATACAGTTACAAAAATGAATGGAAATCAATACAATGTCCTCAGTTTGATGCAAATACAAGGATGTGTGTGTGTGTGTGGGGGGGGGGGGTGCTTTATCATGGGGATCATTTTCCAGGAAGACACAGCCTTGTGGGGACCAAAGCCTAGTCCCTGCGGGTACAGATGCTGATTTTGGGTGAGGGGTTAGATTTAGGACCACGGTGTGATTTGAGTTTAGGCTAGATTTAGTGTCAGGTTTAGCCCGGTAAAAACCAGCCCCCTGTCCTACGCTTTGCTTCATGCAGAGGGTTAAGTTAAGTTAAGTTTCATGCTGTTTTCCTGAATTTATTCAAGTTTAAACGGAGCTAAACCGGCGCAGCTCCGTTGAAATCGATGGAGCTGCTACGAGACTTTGTACGAGCATCAGTGTCGGGCGGACAGAGTCACGTGACTTGCGTTCTAAAAATAGCCTGAGTGAAGGTCCCCGTTGAGCAGAACTGTGTAAGAAGTCAAGGGTCAAGAATTTTAACCACTGTATCAGATAATGTGATTATTAGAAATAACTTGGATTTGTCTTGTGTTTTGTTTCACGATTCTCTTTCTTGTAGGACTGAGGACAATTGGAGTGATCACCAAGCTGGACCTGATGGATGAGGGGACAGATGCTAAGGACATTCTGGAGAACAAGCTGCTTCCCCTCCGACGAGGTGAACACACACACACACACACACACACACACACACACACAAACACACACACACACACACACACACACATCTGGTTTTTAATAATCACAAAGCAGCCAGTTAATTAGCAGCACATTTATCAATTATCTTCTGACCAATTAGAGAGGAGCACACACACAC